AACAAATTGTGCCATCGCGTCCGGCACACGCACGTACATGCTGCGAGGATTTTTGCAGATGTAGCGCGGAGGAAATGGCGTCGGAAATTCCCGAAATTTTTTAATGTTTTTGGCCCACAACACAATACGTATATGGAATTTTGCTTAAGTATTTTCGTCGTAGGCTGCTTCAGTTTGAAAAAAGTAAGACAGTGTCGAATTTAGGTATATCCCGCTTTATATCACTGACCAAGTTGTGTTCCGCTGCTTCTTTTACAAAAGCTCCACATTACTCCACTCTAAATTTCACATATATTGAAGATGAACAGCTTTTCCATAACACAGCAAAAAACTAGTTGGATATAGCAGCGTTTCAAGACTTCAAAGTTTCCCTCCTCTTGCCACTAGCTTGTTTGCCACTAGGATTTCGCCAGAGTCCACCGCGACCGATGCGTGTTTTGTACAGTCAGTAAAACAAGAAAAATTGGACTTCCGCACTTTCGTGTGAAAACGTTCATCAAACTCATACAATATCTCTAGTTTTTAAATATGTTTAAGGTTGATAAATGTTTGAGAACATGTTTTAAAAGCTTAGCTGAAAATATGTGAATACAGCAGAAATGATCAACAGAAATGATCAGCAAAGTTACGATGAAGCTTTCTTTAAGGTAGCTGAAAACAGTTTCCAACACTTAGATTTTGATGGGTCGTTATAACCACCCTTTATCACTTGATGCTACAATCATGGTATCAAAAAACCGCTCAATCATTGGTGAACACGTTGTTATCATTTTCGTGACCCAATAGGTTACTATAGCATTAGTATGACCTCCTAAATACAGCCTTAATTACAACTTTAGTGGCTCATAATTCAATAATGATACGGTGAAAATTTTTATATTACATGTATCAACTTTTGATAAACATGATAAGACGTAACTTTTGGTAAAGTTTAAAAAAATTCTGTAGGTAGGGTTCAGAGCCACTTTTTTGACTTGATAATGATTTTGTGAAAACGTCAAAACGTTATCTAGCTTTTGAGCTTTTATACCTTTTTATAATGTTTCTAAAAAATATTTTATCGTATTTTTTTTTTTTAGCTAAAAGTGTTATTTAGGCCAAAATTAATGACCAAGACCAACTTCTCATAACAGGTCATTTATCTGCTTAAAGCTTTATTCATTATGTTCTCCTTGTGAAGTATTTTATTACATTCATATATAAAAATAAAATAAAACATAAGAGTAAACACTACAAATTAAACTCGGCCTTCATATCCCATGCTCAATTTATATTCAAAGATACTTAAACGATAAAAATGTATGGTATGACAGAAAGGTATTTTTAATAAAAATCTAATACGAATTTACGCAAGAATTAAGGTCATTAAGGGCCAACTTTTTAAAGTTCCTTATTCAATCTCCAAGAAAACAAAGACCTGTCAAACCCTAGCATCGTTTTCTCGATGTGGATGGCGTAAGTACAAAAACAACAAAGACAAGAAAAGGTTGTTTGCTCAGTTTCAATGCGGTAATCTTCGCAGAGGTTACAATTGAAAGGATACAAGTCTATTTACTAGTTTCTGAAGTTTCTGGCAATGATCATTAATAATAAAGTGTATTATGGTTTGTCTCACGATCTAGTCACTTGAGAGGTAGATCGCGACGTTTCGACTGCTTACTGCTAGTCTTCACGCGATGAGGTCGACTGATTACACGGCACCATTCATATCACAAAAACAAGAACAGCCCTAAGAAAGAGCCCGTGGCAGAGTCTAAATCCGCCGCCGTTTTACCTTATGTCCAAGGAGTATCGGAGCCTCTCCGCCACTGCCTAGAACACTGAACAAGGCATTCGCACCGTCTTCAAGTCTGACACGACACTTCGGTCACACTTAGTGCGACCAAAGGACAC